TAAACTGTTTTCCTTAGTGGTCCAGTAAGGATTATCTTTTATTGAGCCAGTGTTACTACAGGAGGAAACCTAAACTAAACTAACTTTATTTATACTGGATAGCTCTATCAGTTCTAAACTGTTTTCCTTAGTGGTCCAGTAAGGATTATCTTTTATTGAGCCAGTGTTACTACAGGAGGAAACCTAAACTAAACTAACTTTATTTATACTGGATAGCTCTATCAGTTCTAAACTGTTTTCCTTAGTGGTCCAGTAAGGATTATCTTTTATTGAGCCAGTGTTACTACAGGAGGAAACCTAAACTAAACTAACTTTATTTATACTGGATAGCTCTATCAGTTCTAAACTGTTTTCCTTAGTGGTCCAGTAAGGATTATCTTTTATTGAGCCAGTGTTACTACAGGAGGAAACCTAAACTAAACTAACTTTATTTATACTGGATAGCTCTATCAGTTCTAAACTGTTTTCCTTAGTGGTCCAGTAAGGATTATCTTTTATTGAGCCAGTGTTACTACAGGAGGAAACCTAAACTAAACTAACTTTATTTATACTGGATAGCTCTATCAGTTCTAAACTGTTTTCCTTAGTGGTCCAGTAAGGATTATCTTTTATTGAGCCAGTGTTACTACAGGAGGAAACCTAAACTAAAGTATTAACTTTATTTATACTGGATAGCTCTATCAGTTCTAAACTGTTTTCCCTATAGAGGTCCAGTAAGGATTATCTGTTATTGTTTCATTGTTATACTACAGGAGGAAACCTAAAGTTCTACTAACTAAACTAACTTTATTTACACTGGATAGCTCTATCAGTTCTAAACTGTTTTCCCTAGAGGTCCAGTAAGGATTATCTGTTATTGTTTCATTGTTATACTACAGGAGGAAACCTAAAGTTCTACTAACTAAACTAACTTTATTTATACTGGATAGCTCCATCAGTTCTAAACTGTTCTTCCTAGAAGTCTGGTAAGGATCATCTTTTATTGATCCAGTGTTACTATATACAGGAGGAAACCTAAACTAAAATAACTTTATTTATACTGGACACCGATAGCTCTATATCATTTCTAAACTGTTTTCCCTAGAGGTCCAGTAAGGATCATCTCTTTTTACCAAAACGCATAATCCTCTACGAGAGTAATTAATCCAGTATCGTGTAATTTGGGCTTTAGGAAATAGATGCTGCTCAGCATATTATTTACAGCTTTCATAGAGAGAACTTTGCCAGACATATTTTTTGTGAGACGATATTTGCTTTCAATTAAAAGACTTGCTTCTAAGTTTTAAAGTTTTTTTTCAACTAAAGGGTAAGTGTCTATATAGATTTGTTTGACAACGTTTGTATGAACTTTATATTAGCTTACGCAATGCCCAATTTTTTTTTGTAATTTCCTCACTTACAAGACATGCAGGGCAACAATTGACGCATGAAACTATAGACTTATAGGAACTTATAAGGAATAGAGAAATCATCCTTTCATTATTTTATTTTGTGAAAAAATCATTTTATCGAAGTAAAATTTTTATATTCGTATACTATTTTGTATTTTTATCGTAATTACCGAACTATATCACTGACCTGCAAATATTCAAGGATTAAGTAAATCCGCACCACGCTAATCAAAAACTGACACTAGTACCAGCAAAAGTAGTCAACATTCACATTGGCCCATGCAGTGCGATATCAAACCACAGTATATAATTATTTTAATGTATAGCTTTTCCTCCATTTCTCTGCATGGTGGTTTATAGGACCATTATCTACAGTCTCGAATACTATAATCTCTATATATCGCTATCATTAAGGCTGAACCCACCCAATATATTCAAGCTAACATCCTATATATTTTTCTATTTTCTGGTATCAGTGAAACGGCTGTCAAATACTTTGACAAGGGCCATATAGAAGATCAATCAGATCACCAAAATAGATCATAGGGCCATATAGAAGATCAATCAGATCACCAAAATAGATCATACATTCCTCACCTTGGATTAAGGAGAAGCTATTTTCTTTTAAAGCAATCGAAAAATATTTAAAAGCGTTTCATAAAAATGGTATTTGCAAGAGCGTTGTTTTTTGTGTTCCTTTGGTACGCAGTAAATTCTGATGAAAATCAAACCCTGAAAAATTACTAAAATAACTTTATTTATACTGGACACCGATAGCTCTATCATTTCTAAACTGTTTTCCCTAGAGGTCCAGTAATGATCATCTCTTATAACCAAAACGCATAATCCTCTACGAGAGTGAATTAATCCAGTATTGTGTAACTCGGACCTTAGGAAATATAGATGCTGCTCAGCATATTATTTACAGCTTTCATAGAGAGAACTTTTCCAGACATATTTCTTGTGAGACGATATTTGCTTTCAATTAAAAGACTTGCTTCTAAGTTTTAAAGGTTTTTTTCAACTAAAGGGTAAGTGTCTATAGATTTGTTTGACAACGTTTGTATGAACTTTATATAAGCTTATACGCAATACCCAAATATTTTGTAATTTCCTCACTTACAAGACATGCAGGGCAACAATTGACGCATGAAACTATAGACTTATAGGAACTTATAAAGAATAGAGAAATCATCCTTTCATTATTTTATTTTGTGAAAAAATCATTTTATCGCAGTAAAATTTTTATATTCGTATATTATTTTGTGTTTTTATCGTAATTACCGAACTATAGCACTGACCTGCAAATATTCAAGGATTAAGAAAATCCGCACCACGCTAATCAAAAACTGACACTAGTACCAGCAAAAGTAGTCAACATTCAGCATGAACCATGCAGTGCGATATCAAACCTAGTATAGAATTATTTTAATGCAGCTTTTCCTCCATTTCTCTGCATGGTGATTTATAGGACCATATATCTACAGTCTCGAATACTATAATCTCTATATATCGCTATCAAGGCTGAACCCAATATATTCAAGCTAACATCCTATATATTTTTCTATTTCCAGGTACCAGTGAAACGGCTGTCAAATACTTTGACAAGGGCCATATAGAAGATCAATCAGATCACCAAAATAGATCATATAGGGCCATATATATAAGATCAATCAGATCACCAAAATAGATCATAGCTAGGGCCATATATAAGATCAATCAGATCACCAAGATAGATCATACATTCCTCACCTTGGATTAAGGAGAAGCTATTTTCTTTTAAAGCAATCGAAAAATATTTAAAAGCGTTTCATAAAAATGCTATTCGCAAGAGCGTTGTTTTTTGTGTTCCTTTGGTACGCAGTAAATTCTGGCGAAAATCGAACCCTGAAAAATGATTTCAATTTGGAAAAGAAAATTGCACTGGCTCCACTTGCAGGAACGAAACATGAAGTGAACCAAGTTCCATCTAATTATGTGAAGCGAGGCAACATTTTTAGTAAGTATAAGTGATATTAGGCCGGGTGATTTTATTTGGTTTTATTTTTACTTTTTTACGAAGTTTTACTAAGATTACCAAATGATTTCAAGTTTAACAGTCTCTGTGCGTCCGAACGATGCACTTATAACAGACGCTTTTGATTCACATATAAGCATTTACTGTTTCGTCTGATAAATACGACGGCCAGTAACTATAAACTTAACACGGATTGTTTGTCAGGTATAGTTTGTGAGTATATAGTTAGTTCCTGGATCTCAGTGACATATTGAAATATAAATGCGGCCATTGCCTTTAGATTTTTAGGCGTATTGCTCAATAATATATAGGGTTCGATCCTGCTGCCATTTAAAGGGACTATAGTTTTATTTTACACGTAACTGCTCTTGACAATGAAATGAAATGTTTTTAAGAAAGTGGCGTACGACAACAAACTGATGCTAAATTTGGAAAAAAAAACTGGTCACTGTCTTTTAAACTAACAATATAAAAAAAAGAGTTAATACATTTTCATATTTCATGATCTGCATGGTCATTCTTTTTGGAAGAATCTATAGAAAGAGAAGATGAGTTACCGACCAAATATCGTATCTGCATAAGCCATGAGCTAAGAAAAAGTATTTGAACTTAATAGTTTACATGTATATATATATATATTTTTTCACTGATGCATGAAAGCAACTCCAAAATATTAAGATTGCAGTTCTTATAATCAAGCTACACTTTTTGAAATTATAAAATATGATACAATTTTAGTAAAATATTTCTGTTTTAAACATGTATTTTTTTGTTCAGGTTTTGCCTTTTCTTACAGCAGCAAAGTCGACAAATTTTTCAAAGAGTTGTTCCCATCCGACCCGGGTTCGTGTTTAAACAAAGCCAAACAAAAAAGTGCCACATTTACCAAGTATTCTAAACGTAAGCAAAAGGCTGTTCAGTTGGTCAACATATACACCCAAGAATGTAAGAAATACATGGGCATTGTCGGGAAACCTATATATTCTACTTTAAACGAAAACCTTAGAGGAAAACCTAAAAAAATCTGGAAAAGAATGTCCGCATTACTAAACAAAGGGCTTGCTCTTCTTGGTCGTAAAAAAATTCCAAATCTTTACCGTGGCTGCCATTGTCCAATTGTTAAGAAAGGCACACCGTTCACTTTCAAGCAATTTGCCAGCACTTCAAGCAATCCAGCTGTTGCGCTCAAGTTTCTTTCTGCAGGAAAGTCCTTTATTCATATAAAGGAGGCGGAAGGGACTGATATAAAACTATATTCGTATTATTCAAATGAAGATGAATTCCTGTTAGGGCCTGATGTAAACCTGGATGTGGTCCAAGTTGAAACCGTCCCTAAACGAATACACGAAGAAATCAAGAAAATATCACCATCCACAAAGATACAAGACCTGCAAGGCGTCAAAATGTTTGTCGTGCTTGATGGCTCAAGAAAAAAGAAAAAAGCAAAAGGTGGTTTCTGGAGCACATGCCTGTGTGGTGGCGGCAAGCTTTAAAACACATATTCTTCCAAATATACTGTTATATGTTGCCTCATAACGTATTTCATTCTATGTATAGCTATAGTATAACAATGTCGGGAATGGTTCATTATTGCACAAATATATAATATCAGAAAAACTTTTGGCGTATATATAAAGTATATTCTCGGGTATCTTTTCAGGTTCTTATAATTAAAATTCAATAGCTAGGATATGAAGATGACGTAAAGACCGTTCTACCACTAATTGCTGTGCGTGATTGACCTTTTCGATATAATTACGTCACGAGCACTTTCCTGGCCAACTCGCGAGACACGAGACAAAAACTCGCGAGACACGAGACAAAAACTCGCGAGACACGAGACAAAAACTCGCGAGACACGGACAAAAACAAGTCATTTGGCGTGATAAGGTATTAACATTTGTCAATGCACACATGTTTTTCACCTCTGACACGTCATCCACTATTAAATCATTCGCTTCAAACATTTCCAATGAGGAAATATGCGTAGCATATATTGAACATAACACATAAATTTTCCATCTCTCTATGAAGATAAAATATATCCTTTTCATATAATATATGAAAAAGATATATATAAAAAGATAATATATGCATTGATTGTAGCGCTACATCTACCGTAGCGCTACATGATACATTACACTACACGTGGTGCTACACTTTCTTATGACGTCACTTCCAGTAATAAGTGAGAAACATACCTCGAATACTAATTACTTCCGGCGGTGGATGGGGGATTAAACTACTAACTTTATTTATACTGGATAGCTCTCTCAATTCTAAACTGTTCTCCCTAGAGGTCCAGTAAGGATCATCTCTTATTGATCCAGTGTTACTACAGGGGAAACCTACACTAAACTAACTTTATTTATACTGGATAGCTCTATCAGTTCTAAACTGTTCTCTCTATAGAGGTCCAGTAAGTATCATCTCTTATTGTTTCAGTGTTACTACAGGAGGAAACCTAAACTAAACTAACTTTATTTATACTGGATAGCTCTGTCAGTTCTAAACTGTTCTCCCTAGAGGTCCAGTAAGGATCATCTCTTAATGATCCAGTGTTACTACAGGGGGAAACCTAAACTAAACTAACTTTATTTATACTGGATAGCCCTATCAGTTCTAAACTGTTCTCCCTAGAGGTCCAGTAAGGATCATCTCTTAATGATCCAGTGTTACTACAGGAGGAAACCTAAACTAAACTAACTTTATTTATACTGGATAGCTCTGTCAGTTCTAAACTGTTCTTCCTAGAGGTCCAGTAAGGATTATCTCTTAATGATCCAGTGTTACTACGGGGGGAAACCTAAACTAAACTAACTTTATTTATACTGGATAGCTCTATCAGTTCTAAACTGTTTTTCCAAAGGTCCAGTAAGTATCATCTCTTATTGTTTCAGTGTTACTACAGGAGGAAACCTAAACTAAACTAACTTTATTTATACTGCATGAATAGTCCAATAATCTGTTCTTCCTAGAGGTCCAGTAAGGATCATCTCTTATTGATCCAGTGTTACTACAGGAAGAAACCTAAACTAAACTAACTTTATTTATACTGAATAGTCCAATAATCTGTTCTTCCTATAGAGGTCCAGTAAGGATCATCTATTATTGATCCAGTGTTACTACAGGAGGAAACCTAAACTAAACTAACTTTATTTATACTGGATAGCTCTATCATTTCTAAGCTGTTTTCCCTAGAGGTCCAGTAAGGATCGTCTCTTATTGTTTCAGTATTACTATATACAGGAGGAAACCTTAACTAAAATAACTTCATTTATACTGGATAGTTCTATTAGTTCTAAACTGTATTCCCTAGAGGTCCAGTAAGGATCATCGATCTATTATAGATCATCTCTTATAACCAAAATGCATAATCCTTTGCGAGAGTAATGTAACTCGGACTTTAGGAAATAGATGCTGCTCGGCATATTATTTACAGCTTTCATAGAGAGAACTTTGCCAAATATATTTCTTGTGAGAAGATTAGCTTTCAATTAAAAGACTTGCTTCTAAAGTTAAAGGTTTTCTTTCAACTAAAGGGTAAGTGTCTTTAATTTGTTTAACAACATTTGTATGAACTTCATATAAGGGACCAGTCATAAAGTATATGGGGGGGGG